ACCATGTCTATAGCTTCTGCATTTCATACATAGATACCATGTCTATAGCTTCTGCATTTCATACATAAAGACCATGTCTATAGTTTTCTGCATTTCTGCTTATCACATAGAGAACATGTCTATAGAGTTTCTTAAATTCTGCATATGCATCTATCACTAGGCAAACACATTTATAGGCTTAAATAATAAAAATCAGCATTTTAAACACCATGCCTATAGGATTTCTGCATTTTCGTAAAGGTTAAACTCAATAACTCTTAGAAAGCATGTCTATAGGAGTAACCAACTGATCTGAATTGTTTACAAGTCTAAAATCAGTAGTAACATTACTCAATGTCTGCAAAACTTATGTTTTCTATAATCAACAGGCCTTCTCCTTGTAAAAATCAGTACACTTCTACATTATTAGATGTCATGCCTGTAGGTTTTACTTAGGCAGGCTATAAGGTAAAATTAGCTAATTGAATCAGACTCTGTTAATTCCAACCAGCAGGCAGGTCTGAGTCTTGTTTCTTATCTGAAATGTGTAATAGACCAGTCTGCCTCCTTAATGTTTAAGTTTAATTCAGACCATAACCAGTATCTGCAAGACATGCTAAACAATCTATCTTTAAGTGAGGAGGCCCATCTGAGCCTTTTAAATTGTTATCTGTTTCCCATAATATGCCTTATGTGTTTTTGTTTATCGCTTTAGAATTTTATCCTTTTAAACCACAGAAAACCCACATTTCCCTTCCCTTTAGGACTAGTAGTCCCAAATGCCACTGGAACTGATAGGATTGGGGCGGGTACTAGTATGCAATAAGTAACGAAACCATTCCGCGTTTAAATACCTCATCGGGGTGGGAAAGGATAGATATGGATATGATGACCGGTGCGCTAATACCACATGTAACCCCTCTTATGAGGAGTGATTACCGGGTATTGCATTGATGTGATCCATATTATTTATAAACCTAGGACCCCCCTTCCCATTACTTGTTTATTTTATCACTTTCAAAATTTTAAATTCCTTTTTCTCAAATTTTAACTTCCTTGTTTTTCAAACTTTAACTTATTTGCAATCACAATGTGACAACCCCTCATATTTGAAACCGTTAATTGCTTATTTATTACTTGTACTTAAGTCACAATTGTAGCATGGCTGGGAACCACACTAGTGGATCTTGAGGGGTTCCTAACACCTTCCTCCCAAGATAATTTCTAGCATTTACCCAAACTCTGGTTTTTTCTAAACAAATTCTTCCTAGTGTCCTAATGCACTTAATCATTAGGTGACGATTCTTTAAATCAAAAAACCCAATTCCTAAAAGGGAACGAGTTGTCCTCCCAAATGTAATAAACCCAATTTCGCGAGAAAAAGGGGGCGCGATAGTTAGTCGATCAAGTTGATATTCTATCGGACCTGCGAGGTTTTGTTGTTAGTCACCATGACTAGTTCCTCGTTTTTAGCTTCAAAGACCTTTACCATTTCGACTAGGTCGGCATGTTCCCACTTCAAGGTCGAAACTTCCTTCTAAGTCCTGTCTAGCTCGGCCTAAAGATCCTTAAGGGCCCCGTTCTGTTGCTCACTGAGAAGCCTATACATATCCTTCTTCCGAACCTTCCCCTTGAGCTCGAACTCGAGCTAGTTGATTTCAAAGCGGTACCGAAGGAAGCTCTCATAATGAAGCACCGAGGCCTACAAAATAACAACAATAGTAAGATATATCGAAACCTAAGTGGAATTCATGAGGGAGTGTTGATGTCTTACCCGGTTCGGCGCCTACTGCGCCTTGATGAAGAGACTCGAAGCACCCACCTCGGTCATCTTTGCTTGGTCCTCCTCGGTCACCAGGCATCGAAGGTAGCTAGCTATGCCCACTGGAGCAGATAAAACCCGAGCATCCTTCGGGATCGTAAGAATAACTATTCTCTTGCAGCCGGGGTCCACACTCGGAGAGGGAAACTATTTCACCAATTTTGGGCTCGAACTCAGCGTGCCAACTTTTGAAGGCACGTTCTTCTTCGAGACCTCCAGGTCGCCCGTCCCAAAAAAGTCTTCCAAAGCGGACATGTCCACACCATCGAAGAAGGAATCGATAGGGTCGTCTGCACTGTGAACTCCTTCACCTAAAGTTTCCTTACCCTCTTGGGCCTCTTCAAGCATGAACTCGATATAGGAGGGTGTCTCGATGATGTCTATCGCACCAGTAACCTCCTTCAGAAAAGAAGTGACCTTTGGGGACATCACAACCCTAGTCTCTTATTCGGCCTTTGGAGTCGCGGCCTCGTGGCTCCTTTCCTCGGTTGCCGCCTGCTCCCCGACTGGGATTGATCCGTGAGCGACAAAGATTTTGTCGTCTTCAGACTCACCCCTGAGCCAACGAAGCGAGTCAGAACCCGACACCCGGGACATGGTAGTCTTCTTGGGCTTACGAGCCCGGGAAGTTGCCCTCTTTTTTTTGCTTCACCTCGGGACTCGAGGAGCCCGAGGAATTTCTTTTCCTTTTCTTCTCCTCCCCCGCGGCAGCCCCAAGTTGTCCTATAATGGAGGGATCAACGGATACGGACGCATCCTTGTCCTTTTCCAGCGGCCTATGTTCCATGATGTTAAGCAAACCTACAAAGGAAAGAGAAAAGGTCAGCGTCATGTGAGTTTGAGTTGCAGTAATAACTAATCAGGGGAAATCCTTACCATGAGAACGAGCCTCCCATTTGCCGTTCAAAAGTATGCGCCACATGCGCTCATAGTATGACATCTGCTGGCAGATCCCTTCGATCCACTCCTTGAGCCGGGGGACCGCATTAGGAACTCGAGCAACAGCTGCACGACAGTGAATAATGGTGATGAGAGAAGAAATGAAGGAAAATTAACAATTAAGGAAAGACTAGACTTACAAGATACGTTCCACTTCTTGGGGAATGATAGGAACTCGAGAGAACCAGGTCTTCAGTTTTTACCTAAACAAAACGCCCTTGCCAACCTCGGTCTATCTTCGTCGAACTTGAAAAGGGAGCCTTGCTGGCTCAGTGAGCAAGCTTGATTAGTCCCCCTCGAAAAGTTCATGGACTGTACAGACAGAGCAGATGGTCGAGGGTGAACTGAGGAGACTCGGTATTGTTCATGAAATAACGAAGGAGGATCACGATCCTCCAAGGGGATGGGTGGATCTGCCCGAGGCATACTTCGTACCTCTTACAAAAAGCCAGAATCACCGGGTCTACAACCCAGCATGAACGGGTAAGTGTAAACACTTGAATAACCCTCCATCTGGGTAGTAATATCGTCTTTTGGCCTGGGGACAACCACGTCTTTGTCTTCCCATTTATAGTCTTCTCGGACTATGGGAAGGATATCTTCAGTAATGGAGCATATGTATCTCTATGCTCCTTCACCCGGTCTTGTTTAGAGGAGGCCTTCTCGATTTTGAAGTCATCCTCGATAGAACCACCGCCGAGTATAAAACTTTTCATGGGGGCTTTAGGGCCGCCTCGGGGGCAACTGCCTCGGGAGCAACCACCTCAGAAGCATCCACCTCGAGAGTAGCCGCCTCAGGAGCAGCCACCTCGGAAGCAGCCACCTCGAGAGCTGCCGCCTCTGGAGCATCCACCTTAGAATCTGTGGCCGGGTGGGAAGATGAAGGGGCAGACTGCTGAGGAACTGATTTGGAAAGCCATTTCAATCTGGGAAAATATGAAAATTTAAAGAAAAAGTATGAAGGTTTAAAGGAACAAGTATGAAGGTTGAAGAAAAAAGAAGATCTAGGTAGAAACCTAAGAACAATTATGGAGACTTGAAGACCAAATATGAAGATATGAAGATTTGAGAGAGTTGAAAGACATTGGAGAATTCAAAGGTAAAAGCCAGGATCAGAAAGTAGAAAAAGTACAAAAGGTCGAAGCTTTTATAGGAGGAAATGTAATCAATATGCGATGTTTCACTTCGGAGGTGACCAATCGATGATCGACAAATGTCTGAAGTCAGAACGATGCGACTGATAGGACATTTCAGGTTATTCGTCATCTTGTTTGTAACATAGGAAGGAAGGAACCAGGGTTCATCTATCATTTCCTATTGTTTCGGCAAGCCTACTCTCTGAGAAACGAGGGAACTATCTGGATACGGGTGAACTCGGGGTAAGCGCACACACCGACTTCCCGGTCCGTCAAACGAAGTAAGAGTATGAATGTATAAGATCGAGAACGAAGTTGGGAACTCTTTGGATGGAGGCTGGAACACGATACTCGCCATCGGGCCCGACGAGATAACATTCCCCGAACCCAAAATGAGCTCTGAGACCTTGAAAAACACTACAAACGGTTGCACATGACTAACAGAGGGTCGTGATATTCACACCCAACCAGATATCACGGCGCAGATCTTGCCTGATGTCGGTGGTGTACCAGTAATTGACGAGAAAGGAGGATTTTTACCTTTTTTAGAATTGTACTAAGGATGAAACTCTCCTACTATATAAAAGGGAAGCTTTTTACTCAATAGACACATTGTAACACGCATATCAAGTTAATACAAACTTGTTTCTCTTCTTCCTAGTTATTGAAATGTTCTTATTTTAATCATAGTTCTTCATATACATTTAGCTTCGAATCGAGGGTCCGGTCGAGGACAAAACTATTGTTCATTTTATCTTTAATACGTTTATCTAATATTCATGATTACTTGTGTTAAATCAATCCACATATCCTTAAAACTGCATATAAATTCAATTATTATTCATTTTAAGGGTAAACCTAATTAAGATCTGAATAATTCATTATGTAAATTTCCATCTATTAGTCACAAAATCCAATAGCACGTATAGTCATCTTTCACGGGTCTGCATCCGAAAGAAAACAATATAACTCACCCCTCCCGCGGTTATAACTTATCCCAAATGTGGGGACAAGTGTTTGAGAATTTTTTAGGAATAAAAGTAAGCATGCGTCTATACAATGTGGACAAAAGTCAAATTTGTCATCGCCTATGTTTGTGGTTCTTTTCTTTTTCTTTTCTTTTTTTCTGGGTTGGTGATTTCTTTCCCCTTATGTTTGTGGTTAGAGGCAGAAAAGAAAGCCAAAGAGCCGTGTGGATTCAATTGAGCCATTTTTGCTATGATATACCTAGAAAATATTAGAGATATCACCAACCCAACTCACTCACCCCTTGCCATGATTTCTCTTCTGAAAAGGCCACCCCACTTCTTCTCTTTCTTCCCACTATAGAGAAACTCGATAAGCTACCTGGCTTCTTCTCCATCATTTCATTTCTCTTTTTTCAAGTAAATAGATTAAAAAATACACTGAATAACATATACACATACCCCATCTCTCCATACATATGTAAGTGATGAACGTTGTAATTTCACTGCTATTTTTTTCTAAATTTTGACTGCAAGAGATGGGGTTTCTTGGACATGATGCATCTAATCTTAAAGTCCTAGACTGTTTACTGAGGTTGTTTGTGATTCCCTTAAGTGTGGCCTCCATATGGCTGTCTGTCTCCAACCAACAGGACAATAGCAGTTATGGGAGAATTGAATTCAGCAATCTCACAGTACTCAAGTAAGAAAATTAATTTGTATCTCCATGTTCTTATTGTGTTTCCCCCCCTTTTTGATGCATGTTGAATTAACAATATAGTAATTTGGAACAGGTACATGGTTGGCATTAGTGCTGCATCAGGTGGATATGCTCTTCTTACTGCTATATCTTTGTGGATCAGGAGTTTAGTCTCTAAAGCATGGTTCTTCTTTCTTTCTGACCAGGTTTTCACTTCCCCCTTTTCCTACAGTTTGATACTTTCTTTTTTTCCTGAAGATATTGTGTCTCAAAGTTTACTTGGGTCATTTTTACGTTAATATAATTCTCCCATTTGAGCTTTTGGTTTTTTCTGATGCCCTTTCCATATGGGTTTTGCACAGATTGTAGCATACTTAATGGTTACATCATTGGCTGCAATCGGGGAAATTCTTTACTTAGCCTATAATGGTGACCAGAAGGTGACATGGAGTGAAGCCTGCAGTTCATATGGGAAGTTCTGCATTAGATTGAAGCTGGTTTTGGTTCTCCATGCCATCACCCTTTGCTGTTTCCTTGTATTAGCTGTGATTTCAGCTTACAGGGTCTTTAGCAGATTTCAGCCTCCTTATGTTCATAGTAAGGAGAATGAAGAAGAAAAGGAAATTCATAAATGAACTCGTTTCCCTGTTTCTATAGTCAAGTGGTGTTAATAGTTTTGGTACCAAAAATTTCACATACACGGATCGACCCTTGATCAGTCCAATTCAGTTGACATTATCTGATATTGTTGTTACCACTTTTGAGATGGGCAAAAGATTGAGGATTGTCCTTTGTGTTAATATAGTGTTTGATGAATAAAAGTGTTTGTCTTTAAAACTCTGTTTTACATGGTTGTCTGTTAGCATAATCCGGGATAACATACCACCAGATAATTTGTGGCACACAATAAGGAAACAAAAAAAAAGAAATACATAAGGTTGAGATGATAAAAGGCTGAATTTACAAGATAGAAAAAGGGGAAAAGTTTTGCCACTTGGGAGTTGGAAGATGAGTGGATTAGCTCAGCTAAAGTGGTGGTGAATCTGGTGATTAACACATCTGTCACGCTTGGTTGTATACTTAGAATCATCTTAAATATTATATTAATTGTATCCCAAAGACTAATGGATTATAGTATTATACCTAAAATTGAGCTCTTCTCTTCAGTAAAAATAAAATAAAAATTGAAGTAGAATTATCTGAAAATCAAATTCCACTTGACTATTAAAATTAAAATTCTTACAAATTTAGTCCTTACTCTTGGAGTTACCATTCAAAATGCGTTTGAAATGGAGGAGGCAAGTTAGACATAATTAAAAGATAAACTTTACAAAATAATAAAACAATTCTCATATTTTAAAGTAGGATAGTGATTTTCAGTCCTCTATGAGTCTTGTGTCATCCTGCGTTATTGCATTAGTCCGGTTGAGTTGCTTTATTGTTCAACTAAGCACATTTAACCTTAAATTAGTCAAAATATAAGATTTTTACGCTTTGATTAACTTTTCACAACTCACGCAAAGTTATTTGACTGTTCATTTACTAACTCTTTTCCTCTTTTAGCTGCGGTTTTGAGTGTTCTTCATAATGGTCAGTCACATGGGCCAGTATACAACAGTTTAACGTCATTTCATCCCATCTCCACTTAAGAGGCACCATTGTCTTAAGCATTCCAATTACTATTTATAAGTTCAACGTGTAACTCTATAAAAAGTAATAAGTATGATAATTTATCAGAAAATACAAACTTTAAGTTCACTTTTTGGCTCTAAAATTCTTTAGAGAAAGCAAAAGTTTGATACCAAATTATTTTGCTATGTTAATATTTTCAAAAGAAAAAAATTACTCAAATAAAATTAAAATTTACTCAAACAAACTTACTATTTCAGCTAAAGAAGAGTCTCAAATTCAATAGTCGTCGCCGATTCGAACTGTTGAAGTCGAGCTCGTGCAGACGTAAAATAAGGCTAAAACAATAGGGTAAAAAAGTTCTTTTTATTATTTTTTTATTTTTGAGCAGAAGGGGTGAGCGGAGGGTTTACCTTTTGTTTGAAAAAGAGAGGCGAGAGGCAGAAGGGTTACTTTTGTTTTTGAGTTTGGAAAGGTTAAAACTTTAGGTTGACTATTGTTGCTCCCAAACGCACACGCAAGTATACATGGTCGATAAATAATATAGGATTGTAAGTCACTGCTAGAAATCAGATGATTTCCGTCCAAGCCGAAATAGAGTATTTGGTCGCAAAAGTCAACAAAAGGTGCCTGGTAGTAAAAATAAAATAAAATTTCCGACCGATTTCGGTCGAAAATTGGTCAAATATTTGATCATACTTGTATATTATGTGCAAAAATAATTACTTATTAAAAATTTACCAATTCGGTCGGAAATTGGTCAAATATTTAGTCATACTTGTATATAATGTACAAAAATAATTAGTTATTACAATTGTAATAACTAATTATTTTTGTACATTATATACAATTATAATTATTTATTAAAATCTTTTCAAATTTTTGACCGATTTCGGTCGGAAATTGGTCAAATATTTAGTCATACTTGTATATAATGTACAAAAATAATTATTTATTAAAATTTTTTCAAATTTTTGACCGATTTCGGTCGGAAATTGGTCCAATATTTGGTCATACTTGTATATAATGTACAAAAATAATTAGTTATTAAAATTTTTCCAAATTTTCGACTGAATTTTCAAATATTTAGTCATAATTGTATATAATGTACAAGAATAATTATTTATTAAAAATTTATCAAATATTTGATCATACTTCTATATAATGTACAAAAATAATTATTTATTAAATATTTTTTCAAATTTTCGACCGAATTCGATCGGAAAGTTTGAAATAATTATTTCCCACCCAAGACAGAAATTATATATATTTAATTAACCAACCGAATTAAGTTATAATTAAATATTTCCGCCCAAAACCAAACTTTCGTTGATTTGATATGCTAAAAATCTGTTTAACTCAAGTGGTGGAAAATCTGTTTTGAAAGACTGATTAACATCCAAGAGAATGATGTGCGTTACGTGCTTGTTAAAGATTGAAGTTTGTTTGCTTTAGTCAAAGATTGAAGTTTGTATCTTAGCCTCTTGTCCTACTTGTTATGGTTTATTAGTTTTAGAATGACAATTAGCATAATACCTTGTTTCAATTATTGACATCTGCTGATTTTTCTTACCTTTTCTATTTGAGTCATTCGATTTAATGTTGTGGTCTTAATGTATTCTTCTTCAGTTATTTGCTTTATGTTTCCTTTTTTGAGAGACTGATATATGTAGTAGACAAATATGAAATATAGTACTACTCACAACAGGTACTAGATTGATCAAGTAGTAAGGAACATAATTCTTTTTATCAAGATTTAGACCTCAGTTTGTTAAGCTATTTTTTATTTTATTTTATAAAATCAAGATTTAGAACATCAGTAGTACGTATATGATAGCCAATTGTTTAGTTGACTATTAAGCTTGACAGTCAGTCAACGCTTTGAAATTTCTGACCGACTTCGGTCAGAAATTTCCAACTGATTTTGGTCGGTACACATTTGCGATCATCGGTTTTCCGACCAATTAAAATCAGTCAGAATTCGATCAAAAATTATCAATTTTCGACCGATTTCAGTCGGAAATGGTGGACGGAATTACACTATTTTTTAGTAGTGAGTCCAGATATCGTACCCACAGGGACTTGTGATTAACTATCAACTAAATTAAACCCAAACAATTAATCTATTCAAGCGATTCCTAAAGTATGAATAATGTACTACAACTAATCTAGAGTAGCAAACTATGACATTAAAGGAAACAAGTCTGCAATCTTATAGATGAATTTATTGGGAGAAAATATTACAGAGCAATGGGTTAACTAACAATCCCATAGAGTTTTCCACTTAAATTGTCTAATTAATTTATCTGATTTATTGGTTGACAGGGTTAATATTGCTCGTAGCCTTCTCCCGAAGTACTACTCGCCTGTTTAAGCTAACCTAACACCTATATTCCTATGGAATTAGGATTAACAAGACCGCATTTATAATTTCTGTATAGTAACCAAGCAAGACGATTAGGTATATCTCTATCCTAACCGCAAATCCATTCACGATGCTCTAGTTCAAGATCTTTCTTTATTCAATCTTATATGCAATCTAGAATTCCCTCTCCCAAGTTCAATCCTAGATTCGTAGATAGTATTCAATTGGTGATCAAACAATCAAATAATTAAGCACAAGATTGAATAAATAAACCAATATGATAAAATAATAAGAGCAATTTAAGTTTCAAACCACAACGTTCATGTAACACCCACAACTCTAGAACAAATAAATTATGAGATTAAAGGAAGAGAAGAGAAGAAAAAACTAGTTAGAAACCTCCTCCAAGCATAGTGTATGTTCCTCCACGTGAATTCTCTTTCAAAGTATGTTAGATATCCTCCAAATTAGGTTTAGGACCCCTTTTATACGAGTTGAGACCGTGTAGGGCTGAATTAACCTTGTTCCGGACAAAATTAGAGAGTACCCCGTCACCCAGCGTCCAGAACAACATGGGACGGTGGTCCTGGCGCTGGAATGCTGAAGATTCTGCCCATGGCGCCACAGGTGGCGTGGGGCATTGAAATTCCACCTTTCCCATTTTTCCTCTGTTTTAGCTCTAATCTCGCTCCTTTTGCCCCCAATTGCTTCTGGATGATTCCTACATATAAAAATACCACGAATAAGCATAAATTAATATATTTCACATCCGTAATCTACGAAACACGGGTAAAATATGAGGCAATATACATATAAATGTCACGACCCAAATCTACCATGTCGTGATGGCACCTATCATGGTACTAGGCAAGCCGACGAACTAACAAAACCAACCAATATTTCCATTTTAAGATAATTTCGAAGCTATTTAAGAATAAACCTTCATAAAGGGATTAAGTCAAAACAATAATGCGGAAAGAAAACCCAACATCGGGGTGTCACTAGTCATGAGCATCTACAAGGGATTGTCCGATAATACTAAGAAATATACAGACTAGAAAATACTAATAACAATCTATAGGAAGACAAGAGGGAGATAAGCAGGGCTGCGATCGCCGTGCAACTACCTTACTAACTCCAACAGATCCGGGACGAATAAAAACAACACTCACTAGCACGTCCAACAATCCCTGGATCTGCACACAAGGTGCAGGGAGTAATGTGAGTACGCCAACTCAGTAAGTAATAAAAGTAAATAGAGACTGAGCAGTAGTGACGAGCATTAAAACAAATACAGTTCATATCACGAAATCTCAGTAGAATACAACAGACTTCTAAATCAGTATATGAATCAAATCATCTCGTTTAAAAATCCAGTTTTCGGTAAAAATCATTTGAAGATGTGTAAAATACATTTAAAACATCTTTCAGTAGTTTTCAAACAAAGTTATAAAACAGTGAGTAAAAAAAATGAGGAAAAACATAGTCGGCCCCTCGGGAAAAACTCACTCGTACACAGCTCCTCGGGCAAATCATCATTGTCACTCATTTACAGCCCCTCAGGCATAACATGAATCAAGAATCGCCCCTCGGGCAAAACATCATATCACTCACTCAGGGTACCCGCGCTCACTGGGGGTGTACAGACTCCGGAAGGGCTCCTACACCCCAAGCACTATATCGCTACAACGTGCATCCCGATCCATAATATCTAATCCTCACAATCAGGCCCTCGTCCTCTCTCAGTCATTAACCTTACGAGCCACTCGAGTTATCAGTAAAACAGGGTGCTCCGCCCAAAATATCATTTTATGCATAAAAATGGAGTAATAAAGACTGAGTTATGAA